ATTATAAATGCACACACTGACACTAAATCTACACATCTACACATATTTACTTCTATATTTTAAAGTCAGTTGCAATTGTTAAAATTTTGTCGACCTGTTTAGTTTTCCGGTGCCTTTGCTATCTACAGATCTGTACAGTGTACTGTAAAGTACAAAAGTTGTTTGCAGTAATCGCGTGCGCTCAAATCCAGAAATGCTGGTTAGCCCAACGTAACACCGTTAAAAAAAACAATTATTTACTATACCTTGGTATAACGAACATTTTGGTTGTGTTTATGGAAATTCGTTATATCGGAGTTTTCGATATAACTGATATAACAAACCAATATCCCTAATCCCTTGGCCCTTCGTTAAATCCAGGTTCCACTGCACCTCCTGCTCTCGTAATCTAGAAGGGGGCGGATTAGGACGAGTGACTGTTCTTCACCAGCGTACTGGAATGGGTAGTCTGTCCACAGACGTTTATGTTTTTGCTACGATATTTTTTTCTTCTTGATCTTTCCCCAACCCCACCCCCTTGCGTTTTAGCGGGTGTATTCCACGCCGGAGGGGGTTAATATTTCGCTAAGCTTGCGATCTCGACGTACTCAAGACAAAATAGAGGATCTGTAGACAGATTAGAAAATGAAAAGTGCTTGTTACACAGCCAGCAGAAAACAAAAAAGAATGCCTCGCAGTTTTCTTTCTTTCAAATTTCCTCCGGGTTATAGAAAAAAAATGGCTGTTGTTTTATTTAGAGCCAGTTTCTGAAACGTTTGCTCAAGGTCTATGTCGGCATAATTTGTATAATTATGCTTTTAAAAAATGGTCTGGTTCGGTTCTCTGCTTTCATTCAGGGGGACGACAGAACAGTGGCACAGATTTTTGTCTCTCTGTCCTGTCAGTCCATGATTTTATTATTTCTTTAAATTTATTGTTTATTGATTGATTGATTGATCTATTTATTGATTTATTTTTTTAACACTTTGCTCAGTTGTTGATTTTCTCATCCCAAATTGTAGTTCCAGTCGTTTTGGAGCAGTTTTCTTCCAAAACTCCACGAAACTCACCTACGTGCGAGAGCCGTCTAGCGGGCTTCGACTTGTTTCTCGTCCAAACTCGTCGACACAGACAGATAAGGACGAGGAAATTTGAACGAGTTTGCCGTCAAAAACTTGCTCGCCAAGACGAGAAATCTGTCTCGGCCATGGGACTTTCTCAGCTTGCCCGAATTATTTTTCACGTCCACTGCCTTCGCAGGATTTTTTTTTCGGGGTCAAGTCCCCTGCACGAATTTTTTTTTTTGGTTGGGGGACACATCCAAATTAAACAGACACATCCAAGTTAAAATGGTTGATATATAGTGCTATTGCCTAAAATGGCCCCGCATTGCAATCTTTATTTGATGTGAAATGTCATTATTGTTTAGTGGCTGTCCAGTAACAACAATGAAGCCGAAGGCGCCACTGCGTTAGGGGGGTCTGGGGGCATGTCCCCCCAAAGTTTTGCAAACTTAAAGCGTCTTTGGTGCGTTTTCCACGATTTTCAGCCGATAAATTTAATTTATCGATCGCATTTGAATGGCAATGCGTCGTTTACTTTACCAATTCAACCTAAAATATATTGAAACTACCCATACTAAACCCATGTTAACACCTCATGATTGTCTTTGATTCCAACGTTTGTCCAACCGTGGTCTTGCCTGCAATCTCAGGGGAAGACGTTACAGTTCGGCAGGTGTGTGCACATCTGTGTCCACAATCTTCATTTACACATTTCAGTTGTGAAATCATTCCCATATGTTGAGACTTTTAAATCAAAGTGCCTAAGAAGTAAAAAATAATTGCTGCTGATTTAAAAGGCTTTTCAAAGTAAAGAAGAATGGCGTTTTTCTTTTTGGAATATCTTTTTTCGTTTTAGAGATATTCACGTTTTTGTGTTATGAGTGATGACGTCATAGGTGGTTCCACTAAAACAGTTCAACACTCAGTCAAGAATATCTCAAGAAATATTAGAGCAGTGTCCTTTAAACTTGGCACCAATACAATATATGTATAATACAAAAACGTAAATATCTCTAGGACGAAAAAAGATATTCCGAAAAGGAAAACGCTATTTTTCTTTACTTTGAAAAGCCTTTCAAATCAGCAGCAATTATCTTTCACTTCATAGGCACTTTAAACACGGGTCAAGCAGTATCGCTGTTTACAGCACATGATTCTATCACTTTTAAGCCATGGCTACCAGTATCCATAAATGTATCAGCCTGGAAAGAGAAAATGTCCGTTTTCCTAATTGCAGAGAAAATCAAGTGAATGGGGATTTCACCAGGACCCAGAAAACTGCGGGGTAAAGTGGCTGCCAATAATATGTGCCCTTCAGGCGGGTACAGTTTGTCAGCCCGACAGAAGAATCCACTCTGCTTTACACGATTTTTTTTTCAGTCACCTTCCCTTGCATGAATTTTTTTCTGTATT